TTTTTTTGTAATAAAGCTGATCTTTTTCTGTAAATGTCTCAAGATCTGTTGAAGGAGAGTGGCCTTGTGAGAAATCAAGGATATCTTGGGGGTGGTAGGTTGGCAAGACAAAAGGGAACTATGAGAAGAGGAAGGCTAGTTTGACCTACTAGACTCTTAAAATAAGAATACACCCATCAAGGAAGTTGGGGAAGTTCATGGGGAGGGGATGAAACTAATTTTAAATGAAAATGCCTGTAGGGACTAGTAGGCGCCATTTACCATTCGAGAAAGATTGTAAACTCCAAAGTACTCAGTAAAGGGGAAATGGAGAAGGGGCTTTTTCTGAGTTAGGTAAATAAAACTCTGTCAAATGGCCAAGCGCTCATCTGTCCTTGTCTACAGGGCTGGGTGCCCAATTTTGCAAAATCGAATAAAGAAAGCCTCACGTTAAAATGAGATTACAAGTGGATTACATGAGCATTTGTCAGTATAGACAAAGTTTCTCACAGCCTCAATAGTTCTAAATTCAAGATGATCTTTGATGACCTCATTTCTACAGAGAGCCTAGATTTAACAGATGGTTGTCCCAAGTTCTAAAGTCCCTGTGTAGTTACTATACAAAGTTCAAATACTTTTTGTGAAACTGTCTGCCAGAAATATAAGGACTGATTGGAGATGGCTAAACACTTGGAACTGTAAAGCATCCAAGGAATTCCATTGAAGGAAGAAGCAGCAGTTCAAATGCTGTCACCTGACATAAGGTGCCCTGTGGCTGGAGATACCCAGGGGTCACATTTGAGGCATCCCCAGCCAGCTCAGGGGTACATACACATCCATGGGGGTGGGCAAAGGAGGAAACTCTTGCCACTGCAAGGGGCTCTCTAGCTGACCAGGTGGGCGGGGGGAGGTAAGGGGGTCAGTATATGTTTTTAAATTTATCCTATTATACATAACCATAAGGTTAACGGTTCAAACCCACCAGCTGCTCCTTGGAAATCCTATACAAGGTGGCTAGGGGTTGGAACCCACTCCTCAGCATTTAACAACAATACACACCAGAATTTAGTTAGCTACTTCCCTACTGATGGACAGTTTGGTGACCCAGTTCTGTTTTGGCATATGATACATATATATCTTCATGATTGTTTTGGTACCAATGTTGTTAAAGTGTCTTGAGTGGATTCCAACTCACAGAGACCCCATATAGGGTTTCAGAGAAGCAGCTGGTGGGTTTGAATTACCAATCTTGCAGTTGTTGTTGTTGTTAAGTGCCGTCGAGTCGGTTCCGACCCATAGCGACCCTGTACAGGGTTTCCGAGGGTGTAAATCTTTACGGGAGTAGAAAGCCTCA